TCCTCAGGGTGTCTCACCAGCAACATAAACTAACTAGGCCATGCAGATGATATCAGTTAAGCTTATTTCCTATGAAGCCTGACACAGTCTTACCAGCAACAGAAATGCATTTGTAGTAATTCAAAGGAGAGGATGTTCAAAATCAGTATTTATTTAAAAAAAGAAAACCACCATGCTGACTTGTGCCTTGTTAACACAAAAGGCGGAGATAGAAAATGGTGTTGGACATTGACACGAAGCATCTGATAAAATAAATAAATACAATATTCCCCCAAATTTGTGAGAGAAAAGTAACAACCCTTTTAGAAGAAACTGAACAAGAAACAGAGAAACCCATCCCACAGCTACACACCAGACACTGTCACATCAGGGAGTTAACTGACAACAAAACTGAGAACTTTTGAGAAATTTAGCTTAAAACTCATACAGACATTCACACCTCAGGAACAGTGTAGTTACCCTGCTTGTCCCACCACAGACAGGATTACAGACTACCACAAACTGGAAAAACTACTGCAAAGCACATATTGAATTAACTTCAAAGTATTGTTACATAAAAATATTCACAAATCACGTCAGTAGTTTTCAGCATTAACTTCTTTAACAGAAACTAAAAAGCTGCATCATTGTGCTGCTTTTAATATAGTCAGCTTCACCGAGGTTGTGATCTCTGGAAGAGTCGAGTAACAGATAGCGTACGAGACCTGTGGGGCATCGGTCAGTGTTTTGAGCTTTCTGGGCTGGTCTTCAAAAACATGACTCAAACATTTTATTCTTAAAATAAACCTTTTAAAACCTAAAAAATTATATTCATCTTCCAGAGAGCACATTTTCAAACAGAAAGAAAATTAAACGACTAAAAGGAAATGTCCACCGCTCAGCCCACCACCACAACACACCAGTGCTTCAACAAGGCAGCAGACGCCTCATTCTTCCCTTGTTTAACTACCTGTAATGCAGTTAACAGGAGTGCTGATCCAGGAGCTGCCACACGTTACACAAACCAACACACAAAACTTCCTTCACACAATCCAGAGAACAGAGAAACTTCAAAATCCAAAGTAATTGTGAAATGCATGTGTTTTTTTTTCTCTTGGGAATGCTGGTGTGTGAGGACATACGCTGGCACAAATGCCAAAGATGAACCTAATGTGCTTAAGCATAGTGTGGGGATTCTTTTACTTTGAAGGAGTCAAAGCAGCGCAGTCATTTAAAAGCTTAAGGGCCATCAGTGACTGACCAGGGCCCAGGTCTTACTATAGCTTGACTGCTGTCCTCAAGCTAAGTCTACGTTAGCTGGCAGCCATGCTATCCTGACCTGACAAGGTGAGGCTAACTCATCCATACAGTGAGGTAAGAGCTATAAAATGCAAACAAACATGATGAATAAGCAGGGTCCATCCAGTTGACACCTGGGAAATCACCAAGTCAGTTTAATTTGATCTCTGCCAAGATGGTCAGGGTGTGTGTGTGTGTTTGTGTAATGAGAAACAAAAAGAAACAACACAGTGATGGAAAGGCAAATAATTTAAATCATATTTACACATCGGTTTGAAACAGGAGTGGAGGTGGTGGGAGTAACGGCCCCGTTATTTCGCAAATGCAGACTGATCTTCTAGACTTATCAAGTTTCATAGCTTAGTGATTTTAGCATTACATCAGCAAAGAGCTGGCAAATATCTGCCCTCTATCAGCTGAATCTTCACCCTTAATGTGACAAAACACAGTTTCAATCCAATAAGTATCATGTAAAATGGGGGGTGGGGGTGGGAGTGAAATGTGAGCTTACATTGTGCAAAGCTTCCATCATTTTTCTGCTGATTTACACTCAGCTCAGCACTTAAGTCTGGAACTCCATCTGTCCTCTCATTATAGAAGAAGTGTCTTCCAGTGTCTGCTAAATAGAGAATGGGGCCCAGATGGGTTTGAGCCTGTGCTTCTGGTCAGGTTAAATCTTAATTAGATTTAATTCACATATTTTCACAGATAACACAAGCAGTTATTCACCACTGTTTGACTGACGATGCTCAAAATGAAAGCAGACACACAGAAGGAGAAAACTGACAGCACAGATGTCAAAGAGCAAAACTTAAAATGAGGACAAATCCAGCTGACAGTCAGCATTTTCCATCCCACTTGTGTCAGTTCAATATGATGCTGGCAGTAAAAAAAAAGCATTGCACTGGTTTGGTGTCAGTCTACGGATGGGCGGTCATGATGTACTTAACAACAACAAGAACCAAACAGTAATACCATAGTAATAATGCCTATTAGAAACAGTTCAGACTAAGGTCTCCCCCTCCCTCTGCTGTTTTACCACTGCTGCCAGCTGAAGTCATCGTTGGATCCGAAGACGAGGAAGAAGCCCAGGATGGTCCCGAAGATGACTATGTTACCCGTTAGCACGAGCGCACACGCCCCCCATTTGATCTGTAAACCAGTGCATCAATAATTCAGGTTAACAAATGCCGCTGTGTGCTGGCTGCCTGCAGTGCTTATTTAGGCCAAAGCTTAGTGGGTGTCAACAAGAACAGTTTACAGAATTATTCCTACAAGCTGCTCTGAAGTTGTATGTGATATTCAGGACACACAGCAGGAAGGGACATTAGCGTAGCATGCTAATCGTGTCCTAGGGTGCAGCTGGTGGATCTGTCCTGTCTGTCAGTCAGTCAGTCTCAGCAAACCTCATTTTTTAAAACCACTTTCTAATTGTTCAACTGTCCACTAATTACAAATTTGCATTATCACCTGCCTGCTCTGTTACGGTGCATTCACCCATATGGGTTTAAAAGACCATGACTCCATTACGTGAAGAAAGTTTAAACTAAATGGAGGAAAAGCTTATCATCACAGTCTTCGGCTTCCCTATTCTCTATGACATGTCTTTAACAAGTCACTGGGACATAATAAAATCAGAACAAAGTGTAAAAACTCAAAAATCGACCCTCAGTTTGAGAACCACTGCTCCACATCCTCATACAACACACTAACATACTACTGTAACTTACTAATGCGGCTCTTGCAAAGATGATGGGCAGGCCAAAGGCTGAAATGACAATGCCTGTCGTGAGGAAAATGGCCAGCTCTTTGCAGGCGTTACTGGCCGAGTCTGTGTCATCGACCACCCTCCGCGAGATGCAATAAGGAATTGGAGAGAGGATGTAGAAGAAGAGGAGGAACAAAGGCCAGTATTCGCTGCAGAGAGGGCGAGAAGAAAAAGAGGGAGATCCACAGGAAGTGAGCATGAGATAAATCTCCACATTGTGATGATAAAAGTCACAGTCAAACAAAATGAATGATGAGTAAACAAACACTGTTCAGCACTCAACACACACTTGTTTTGCATCATGCAGGAGTTTCTGTCTGACACTTTACTGGTAGTTATTTAATAAACTGCTATTTAAGCAACCACAAAAAAAAAATCCAAAGTTTCATTTAGTGTCTTGTTACTGTGTAAAAGTAGGAAACATTCTAAATGTTTGTGCCCAGGGGCCAACTGTCTCATAATGCGTCCACATCTAAGATGCATCTGTGCCAAATGTGAACAACGTCCCTCACACACATTCACAGGCTCATATGAAGGTGGCACTTACTCGTACACAGGGAGGGCACATCCTAGCATGAGGAACATGAGGCCAATGGCCCCTCCGAAGGACAGGCTAATGAGAGCTGCAAGAGATAGGCCAGGGAGGATCAGACTAAACTAAGTCACATATCTTCTTTCTGAATCTGTGCGTGTGTTTCAAGACCTTCAACAATCACATCATAGCAGCAGGGCCCCCTGGCTAATAGCTATCTTGTGATGAATCAGCTGATTTCACGTGTAACAGCTACATAGGCAGTCTAAGCATTGCTTTTGTGTGATCAGGTTAAACTCTGAAAGTAATACAGTCAGTGTGGATGCTTGTTAACAGCAGTTATTCTACTTGCATCAAGTACAGCATCTCCATCAGCGCCTGTGTAAATAATGAAGCTAACATTAGCATTATAACGGTAACTACTAGCAGTTACGTTATTATACCACTAAAAGGAAATGACTTTAAAACAGTTTATTAATGCAACCTTAAATGGTTACAACGTGTCAACTACGCAATATGACTGTGTATTTAACTGGGCTGATAAAGTAGCGGCAGCTTCTAGCTAAAGGAGTGCAGGTTATTCAGCTAGCTAATGCTAAACCCTGCACTGGCCCTACGGCTGACTACTTCTTCATGGTACCGCAGTATTCACCTGTCTTCGGGACATTGTTGAAACTGTCACGTTGATTCAGCCGTAATTTATGAAATGAAATGGAAAATGGAAAATGCTTACCCTTAATCCCAGCCATTTCTCCTGGACAAAAGCACACACGCACACGGACACACGCAGCCCTGACGACTGACAACAGGACCCCCTCCTCGGCTGTCGAGACCAGCCCTGCCTGTTCTGCCGCCTTCAGAAGCTACGCAAGTGTTGGAATGATGATCTCTTCAAACCAACAAACCCAAAAAACTCTAAAGGTAAATTATTTTAGATTTACCATTTTATAGTTTATATTTACTTACACACACACACACACACAC